CATACATCAAAGCCTTTGTAAAGCCATTCACGAGCCATGTTTGTCCCTCTCATCTGCTCTATCCATGCATATATAGCCTTACCATTTACCATTACCCTTTTTTTGCTTACTCATTCCAAAATTGAGTAAAAAGTGGGTCAAAACATAAATCTAATTAATAAAATTGAGAAAAATAAAGTGGATTTAAACTCGTAGGTAAATAAATTAAAATTCAATGACCTCGTATGGAATTTGAATAGAGAAAAACTCAAAAAGTGGGTCAAAACATAAATCTAATTTATAAACTAAAGCAAAGGGAATTCTATTCACAGCCACTTTTTTACTAAATACAGCCACATAATTTCATAGTTCCTATTATATCCTTAATACCCAATTTGATACAGCTCCCTGTAGGCAAATCACGGGATCCCAAATCACGTGTATATTCCAACGACGTCCGCTCAAAGATTTTCTTAGTCTCCGCTGTGTGGCAAAATCTCCTCTTATAATAGAGATTTCAAACATTATTCTACGGAAAGGTCCAACGTCGCTACAGCCTGACACTCTCAAAGCTCTAAAACTCGTTAGATTTCAAACACGTAAATCTTAGGCCATTAGTTTTTCTAATTTCAATGTTTTAACTGTTTCCTCGTTTAATTTTTTTAGGCTAAAGGGTAGCCCCTTATATACGAGGTTCTGCCCGGCCGTCGCTAATTGGGGCTGTTCCCGGAGGAATTTTTTGATGAGATCTTTTGAGCATCTTCTTCATTAAGTCTAGTTTACCCATACCAAATTTCAGCTAAAAATTCAACCGGGAAGGCAGTCAAATGATTTTCCGAAATGTACTGCGCTGTTTAACTTTGTAGTTGTTATCTTCAAAAAATCATTTGACTGCCTTCCCAGTTGATATTGTATCTGAAATTTGGTATGAGTAAACTAGACTTAATGAAGAAAATGCTCAAAAAATGTCATCAAAAAATTCCACCGGGAACCGCCCCAATTGGCGACGGCCGGACAAAACCTCCTATATAAGGGGCTAATTAAACACCATAAGTCAGTTCAAGTGCCTATTTGACCCTTTAGCCTTTTTTTTTTAACTTGATTGAAACTAATGTGAATCTGAAAGATAGGGGAGGTGAAATTGAAACCAATGTTTCTGAAACCATTGGAATCTAAAACAAGATGTTCTTGGCTGTAGGAGTAGAAGTGTAGAACACCAACATGGGAGAAGTAAAAAATAGATCTGAAAATTGTAGGGCGTGGTCAACCTTATCAAGACACAATCTAAATCTGTATTTTTAATTTTTGGACTTGGTGTGCACGATGGCTTTGCCAGTAACCAAGCCGGCTAAGCAGTTTCATCGTCAGTTAACTTCTTTCGGAGCAGAGGGCTAATCAAGCAAACAAATTTCCCTTTCTGATCATTTATTTTGGAGATAAGGGTCAGATAGGGTCTCGAACTTGAAAAAAAATGTCAAATAAGGCCATATTTAGGATGCTCTGTCCGGCCGACGTCATTTGGGGTGGTTCCCGGTAGAATTTTTTGATGATTTTTTTTTAGAATCTTATTCATCAAGTCTAGTTTACTCGTATCAAATTTGAACTAAAACTTTAATCGGGAAGGCATTCAAATGAATTCTTGAAGATAACTGTACCGTTAAAAGCGCAGTTATCTTCATGAATTCATTTGAATGCCTTCCCGATTGAATTGTTAGTTCAAATTTGATATGAGTAAACTAGACTTAATGAATAAGATTCTCAAAAAAATTCATCAAAAAATTCCACCGGGAACCACCCCAAATGGCGTCGGCCGGACAGAGCATCCTAAATATGGCCTTATTTGACATTTTTTTTCAAGTTCGAGGCTCTATCTGACCCTTATCCCTTTATTTTGATATTGGAACTTCTATGGAGTATGTAGGAGGAGCTCCTCCAAGTCTTCCATACTCCCCACCTTCTGAATCCTCTGTATGAAGAATCTCTTATGTCCTTTGCAATACACAGATTACACAGGGAGGTTGTATGAAGTTGGGTATTACTAAGGATAAAATAGGAATTATAAAAATTATGTGCCTGTATTTAATAAAAACGTGGCTGTGAATAGAATTCTCCAAAACAAATTGAGAAACACGTGCATCATACATTAAACTTTGGAAAATAAAAATTGGGCCTCATTTGTAAGAGACCCGACTCGTGCACTTGGACATAACTCCCTCTGTCACCAATTGAGTTGCGAAATTAATTTTTTGAGTTAAACAAATTCATTTTATTCACTTAATTAAGATATTGATTCTTAATTAAATTTTAATTTGGATTCACAAATTTATAGAGATTTTAATGTAGTTTCTGAATATGTAAATTAAAATTATTAGAATTGAATTTATTATCAATATAATAGGGAGAATTCAGTTTTATGATTGATTGTCAAAAAAATATTGACTTTGTAAAATAATTTGGGGCGAAAATATTACTACGTAGTTGCTATTGAAGTTGGGAAGAAACGTGATTAAGATGCGCTATCACTTGTTCTCTACTCATGACTTTATGAGTCTTATCTATCAACTTCTTTTATCATGCTTGCCCGATCACATCCTCGCTGAACTCTTCCTGAAAACACTAAGAGCCGGAAAACTCAATGAGAAGATTTTGAAGCTGTTTGTGGGTACTGGTAAAGAAGAAGGTTTTTTTTTGGTTAAGAAGAAGTCATTTCACTTGTTGAGTCTTTCAACATCCAAGCTGTTCTTACTCCTGTTCTTCCTACTAGATGATGTGAGAAGAAATTTTGATCCTGCTCAAAATCAACTGAACTTCTTTTTAGTTTATGATTGAATTGGCGGACTTTGCTTAATAAAACTATTTTTGCTATTGATATACGAAATATTTATAATGTGAAAATCTCTTTTGTTAAATATACTATTATATCATAGAAGTATGAAACTTAAGGAGTATATGTTTCACAACAATATACTATGTTTCAAAGTTTACCATCATTTTGACTATATAAAAAGGGAGGAAATTAGTACTCACTTTGTCCCACAATGCAATGAATAGGTGGTTAAAATTAGGGTGGACTCGGGTCAGTGCCGAGCCCGGGCCCAGCCGATCGCGGTTTTAAAAAAGTGAAGTCTGATACCGACTCGGTTTGCTCCGGTTCCGGTTCAGGTCCAAACAGTATCGGGCCTGGTTCGGTACCCACCCCATTTATTTATTTTTTAAAAAATAGCCGTTCGGGCCTGGGACAAGCCGGGTCGGGTCCTAAAAATCAAGCCCAAAGCCTGCCTCTTATAACCAACCGGCTTGGGTAATGGTCCGATACCGGCCTGGAAAATCGGTCCCGAACCAGTACAAATAGTACCGATCCCGAGCAGGTACAAAGAGTACCGATCTCGGGCCAATACAAACAGTATCGGTCTCGAGCTGGTACAAAAAGTACCGGTCCTGGGTCAGTCCCGAGTCAGGCCGCTAGGGCCTAGTCCATCCCTAGTTAAAATAGGTGGTTAAATCTATTTCTCTTTCATCTGCACTAATCTCAATCAGATAGTTTTTATTTTATTATTCGACGTGTATATTAAACTTGGCCAAATTTTATAGGACGGAGAATACCTTTAATGCTACATCAGAAAAGACGTGTCTCACAATCTCACTTAATTAAAGGAACGCACCTTTCATTTGTAAAAAAAAACATGTCAATAAGTACTATGAAAATTATGAATAATGAGATTGTGTTCTAAAATAAGGGAGTGTTTGCAAGGGCTTTTTGGTAGAAAAAAACTAGAATGAATTTTTAAACATCAACTTCTACTTATTTCAAAAAAAAAAAAATCAACTTCTACTTATTTTACCAGGGAGAGTGATGTTTTTAAATGGTTTTCATTTTTTTATTACACAAAAAAAACACTATTTCAGCAAACACTCTAACTTTTACTTTTCAAAACTACTTTTCTTTTAAAAAACCATCAGCCTTTACTATTAATCACTCTTCATATAACTTTTAGAAGAATTACTTTTAAAAAATTAGAAACAAACACTCCCTAAGTTGACTTCTTGCTAGGTTCGTCATTACTCGTATATTTTTCAAACTATTGATTACGAGTAAAAATAGCTAATTTTATTTATTTAGGTATTAATCAATTTATCATGTAAGTATTGAAATTAGTTTTATGTCGTATTATAATTTGCATAGTATTTAGAAGAAGTGTAGATTGGGGTAACATTACAAAATGAGCAAAAAAACCATAACAAGTGTGCACAAAACAGTACACTAAATTGAATAAAATACAGAAATATTAAGTATAGACTTATGGCACCATACACTACGTATTGTTTAAACCGTGTTCAATTATCAACTACGTATTGTTTAAACCGTTGTTAAATTATCAACTACGTAGTACTATTTATTAGAACAATGGGAGTAATTAAATAGAATTACAAATAACTATTACTCTATTAGTACACGGCAAATTACTGTTTTACAACTAACTTCACTAAATTTGAAAGTGTTATGTAGTTTTCTAGCAGTGAATTGTTACTCATACTTTAATATAGGGTGGCAGAAGAAGCAAAGTCTAGCCTAAGAACCTTCGATGAAGGTGGCATTGATGGAGGTTAGCACTGCTGATATTTGTACTATTATTAGTTGCAAACTAACAACTTGTATTGCTACTCATGTCCTATAGAAGATATTGGAGATCAAATTTGTTTTATAAATTTGATGATTTGGTATGTTTCATTCTACCTTAACTAGACCAAGATTGTGTCTAGTAAAATACACTCCGGGATCTCAAACTAAGAGTTCATTCAAATACTACTCCAGCATTTAAAAAAAAAAGCCATTTCACCCACTAATAACACCTCATCACCGAGTACTGGCAAACTAAAGAAAAGCATTATTGTTATCTTAATATTAACTTTGTGAAGTATGAAAGATTTTGAACTACACAAATATGACCAGATATGGTGTGAACAAATTTATTAGGATGAACCAAAATGAAAATGGAACAAAAATAGTGGGTGGAGTATTGTTGATAATCTCTGTTCATGTTAATAGCTATCATAGTGTTTCTTAATCAATAAAAGGACTCTCTCACTTGGACACACAAACAGCATTTTACTTTCCAATTTCACTGTGAAAGTAGCAAGCTGGTGTTCATAGAAGATTGGATAACATTAATACATTAGAATTCCAACCACTAATACATCTTTGTAAACAACTAACCTACTTGACATTTTCTAAATAATACATTAATCCATGCACCTCTTATCTAAATAAACCTGCAAAGAAAGTAGGGTTTGATGAATATAACGGATTTTTTAGGATTTATTGGATTTAATAACACCGAAAGAAAGTTTTCTTAAAGTGAAACAGAAATGTCAAAATATTATACATTTAGGTCAAGTTTGGTAAAAAGACGTAATGAAATATAATCAAATTCACATGTAATGTAAACTTAAATTAAAAAATTGATTAAATTTTATTTCATTAACTCTGACCAAACTAGACACTAGAGAATGAGAGACCACTCAACCACGTTTCTACGAGGAAGAGTCAGGGGAAGTGGCTTCCTGTGTCTGCCTTGGAGGAGGGCCGTCTCTTCTTCTCACATATGCTTTACTCTTGTTCTTTGAGCGATTGGACTGCTTTGATTGGTATGTAGGGTACTGGCAAGGAATTATCTCTCCATTGACGTACTTATCCCCTGAAAAACAATGCACCACAGCTTATTATTTATGTGTGATCAACGCATAAGAATTTTGAATCTAATAAAAGAGAGTGAATAGCAATGTGATTTTTAAAGATGAAACAACCTCCATAGTCCTTGTTTTTGACATCTATGTAAGAATCAGGTAAAACCCACAACACTCCAGGCAATCCTACAAAACAATAAGCCAAGGGAAACCAATCAGCAATTAAATCTGAACCTGGAAATTCAGGAACGGACACTCTGTAATTAAACTTCATTTAGGGTGGTTTGGAACCCACAAATTTTGGGTGGCTTGGAAGGAGCAGAAATAGCAGTGAAGATTTAAAATCTGAATCAAGATTTGTTCAAACTCGTTTTTGTTTAAGTATTACTGTTACATAATGATTATATGCACATACACATATACATATGTATATTCATATATAATATACTCTGTAAAATATTATTCCCTCCATCCCGGTGGACTTCGCCAAGTGCAAAGTAGGTGAGAAGTAAGAAATTTGCAGAGGGGAGAGAAATCGCAGAACCACAAATTAGTTGCTTTAATAGGAAAGTGGCAAAGTTTTTTGGGACAACCTAAAAGGGAAAGTTGGCAAAGTCCAATGGGACAGAGGGAGTATAAATTTTAAGGATTTAATCAAATTTTATTTCCAAGGTAAATCTCCTTCACATTTTTTACCTTTCCCTACAATTATGTGAGTTCCAAACATAGCCTAAAAGTTCAAGATTGAAGAAGAAAAAGAGTACAACTCCCAAATACCCTTGAACTTCTCTGATGTTTCTTCAGACACAGTGCATTGGAATCCTGTATAAGTAGTTGTGCTGAAGGCATACATGTTCTTCTTTGCTTCTTCCATACTGAAGGCACACAAGTTTACTCAAATGGAAGAGAAGATATAACCACCTAACAATAACCAAAGAAGTATTCCCTCTATCCACAGATGTTCTTACTATTTTGTTTTTACACCCAAACTAGGAAAGTGATATTGACTGGTTGAGATTCACTAAGAAAGAAAATGATCAAAACCAAGAACACAATTCTTTCCTTAAAATGAAATGGAGAAGGGCTTTTGGAGACGGCTATTATGGGAAAGTTCAAGATCGAAGAAGAAAAAGAATACAAATCCCAAATACTCTTGAACTTTGCAGATGTTTCTTCAGAGACAGGAGTAATATACTCTTAAGCTATAACAGCATAAGAGTGATAAGACACATCAGCTGTCGACCTTCATGACAGAAAATCACTTCCATCACCAAGAGGCATCCTTTCCATTGGGGTTAATCAATAATCTATCATGCTTTGAGCTAAGAGATTGAGAAAGTGTGCTACTATTGCACTATCTTTTAGCACGAAAAGTTATGGTTCTGTAATTTTTTCAGCTGCAGGTAGTTGGAGAAGGGTATAAAAAGATGTTGGCACTAAAACTTGGCTATAAATGAATTCAAACTCTATTTTTCTTCAGATAATTTTTCTCTCTTTGAGCTTGTAATAAGCTCAGTTCCTGGATATTATGGATGATTACATAATCTTTTAGTAGAATGTCAAACCTTAAATCACAATCTAATACTCCCTAGATAGAGAAAGTTACCAATCCCCCATTAACATAACGCTCCATGTAACAGGCCAACATTTCAAATTCCACTTCACTAGTACTTGGAAACCCATAAGCTCATAAGCACTAAGCAACATCATGAATAAGCAAGAGCAAACGAAATTGACCTTCCAAGAACAGTGGCAAGGGTATTGAGGTAACTATCAATCATCTGCTCTCGGGAAGGGGCAGGGTCTTTGGGGAACTCCATCACAATAAGCCAGTGGTTGTAGTCACATCCAGGAAGCATAATACTCTCTCTTTCTTCATTGTCGTTTCTCCTAGCCGAGTAGTCCCTGTTTCCGGTGGCTCTCAGCGGATGGAATTTCGATGGGGTTTGAGATTTGAGGGTGCAGGGGATGGGTGACTGGAGGGTAGAGGGAAGAAGAGTGTTCGAAAGGGAAAGCAATGTTGGGGCTTTAGGAGGGTTCTGGGAGGGCGAGAATCGGGGGTTTAGGGTTTTGAAGAAAGGAGAGAGATTCAGAGCTGCCATTTCTCGTGAAGAAGAAGATTGCAGAATGATTGAGCGATTTTAAAGTTTAAACAGCAAATATTGCGCGAGGTGGACAGTGGCGACTGGTTGGCAATGGTTTTTTGAGGTGCCTCGGAGATGTTCGCGTTTTAAGCATGTCTACTCAGGATAATTGTTTCCTGGAGCAAAGGTCAATTAAGTACATAGACTCAGTTTTTAGTTTTAATTGAGTACATTCATTACATTAAACAGAAATTGCCCTAAATAGGAGTAAAAACGTTTTGAAATTCCAAAATAAGAGTATCATGTTTTTTATTTCTTGAATAGGAGTAATCTGCCAAGTTTGGAAGAAACTGCCATCTTTAAAGTCTTGTAAAACTAAACTTGACAGAAATTTATTCCTATTCAGGGAATAAAAAACATGATACTCCTATTTTGTAATTTCAAAACGTTTTTACTCCTATTTAGGGAATTATCTCTACATTAAAATGTTAATATGGCAAATAGAGTACTGAGTAAGAAGGGAAAGTCGACCAAGGTTCCGCCGTTGACGTTGAGAAAGTCGACCTAAAAGGGGGAAAACGACCAAGGTTTTGGCGTCTACTTTCAGAGGTCGACTTGCGGGGGGGGGGGGGGGGGGGGGGGGGGGGAATGGGGCATCAAGTTGCGGGGGGTACATTGACCAAGCGGCTGAGGGTTGACGTCGACCTTCAGGAAGCCGCCCTGTTGACATTTCTGTTAGCCAACTTAACCGTATTAATGTGTTGATCTAACGAGCGTATTCAATTAACACCAAGGACCCGAGTTTGCGTACTTAGAAATGTCAAATGCAATATAGTGTACTCTTTACTCCACTTCATACAAATTGATGTGCTCAATAAACCCTTTCCTGTTTCCAATTTCTGCCTATAATCTTAGATTAAAATTAAGATTTTTTGTGTTCAAATTGGTTCACTTAAGAATTAAGATTTTTACTATTTAAATATAATTTATACGTGGTATAAGATTTTATTAAATGTTTTATGAAGTATTGCTTTATTCCGCTGTCCAATTAGGAAATTTACACATGTGCGCAAACATTTTGTTTAAAAAAACATTAATTATCTATGTGCAGAAGTTGTGTACAGTTTGTGTACAACAAGAATTACCCGTCCAATTATACTACTGATAGAGTATATAGACTCATACCCCCATTTCAGGACTATTAGGCCTGGACAGTGGCCCACACACGCTTACCGGACATCCTTTATATTATTATACATTATTATTATTATTATTATTATTATTATTATTATTTGAATATTCTATATTAACCTTTTATGTAATGAGTCCTTTTATGTAAACAGGTTTGTCAGACCTTATATTAGAGGTCCATACCTGGGTTTTCTATATGTACTCCCTGTAAACTCTAATTGATAATTCACAAACTCATATTCTACACTTCTTCACATTTACTACGCATATTTATTGAGCATATACCTGCAGTTCACATCAGGAATTCCTGATGAGAAGCCCCGTGCGGACAAGACCATCAGAGGGTCTTCTCGTTGAAATTTTTTGATGAAATTTTTTGAGCATGTTCTTCATCAAGTCTAGTTTGTCCATACCAAATTTCAGCTCAAAATTCGATCGGGAAGGCAGTCAAATAAATCCTGGAAAACTATGGCTCATTCTGCGCACATATAAAGTGCAGTATGTTTCCAGGATTTATTTGACTGCCTTCCCGATCGAATTTTGAGCTGAAATTTGGTATGGACAAACTAGACTTGATGAGGAACAAGCTCAAACAATTTCATCAAAAAATTCCACCGGGAATACCCTCTGATGGGATTGTCCGCACGGGGCTTCTCTTCAGGAGCTCCTGATAGGAACGGGACTCTTTGTTGCGTATAAACAACGACGATGATTCCAAATTTCCAAAGGAGTGACCGCTGAGGCCAAAACAATATGATGAATAGCATTCCACCCCGAGAACCATTATTTACTCATATATTTGTTTTTTTTTAATCTTGTAATTTTTGAAGACTAAATATCAACCCCAATTAAATCATATGTATACATTCTTTTTAAGAGTTTGAATGCATCTAATTGGACTTCAAGCATGCAAATGTGATTATTTTCACCATGACATGGAGATCTCAATCATCTTAGCTCAAAATTCACTAACCTCGTCTAGGGGCGGATTCAGAAATCTGAGATGCTCTGGGCTAAATAAAAATTATACTAAGTTTAAATATTGGCGGGGTGGACTAAATATGAAAAATGAAAAAATTTACACTAAAAAATTGAAAATTTTCTAAGTTGCTATGAGATTCAGCCTACCATAACCCGTACATAAATCATCCTCTTGAATCTTTGATCCCCAAATGTGACATAAGTGGCCTTTTAGGTCACATGCAATTAATATATATATATAAAAGAGGAACTTTTTAAGAACATACAATGCGCCACATAACATTGTCATGTCATCATATATAATTATTATTTAATTATTGTTGATATGGAAATCCAACTTATTAATTGTTGATATGGAAATCCATCTTATTTGGTATGTTAATAAATCTTTCGATACATACGTATTTAACTTAGATTAGAACTAATCTATAAGTTGGAATGCTACGTAACACAATTTTTTAAAATACTTCTTAAAATCATACAATTCAAATAATAAAATCCTATGTTTATTTTAAACTAAAATAATTTTTTTATTTGACAAAAATATATATTAAATTTCATAATTTTTTATTATCTTTCATATGACACCAATATTGAATATATAAAAATAAAGATAAAAATTAACACTTTAAAAAACACATGTATTTTAAAGTGATATATCTGCTTTATTTGTACTCTGATTGTTACAAAAAATATATAAAAATTTATAACTTTTTATAATCAATATATATATATATATATATATATATATATATATAAGGAACTTTTTAAGAGAATACAATGTGCCACATAACGTTGCCATGTCATCATATATAACAATTATTTAATTATTTTTAACTTTTTATTGTTATATTATAGTTGATATGGAAATCCACCTTATTTGGTAACTTTAGCAACATCCAAACCTACGTAAAGACACAAGCTTTATTTTGAATTTTCAATTTCAGCATTTGGAAACATAAATCCTACATATAGATGTATGCTATACTTTACCATATTTAGATTTAAATATTTATGACAAAGGAAACTTTACATGTTGATGACAGTAGCAAAAGAATCAAATTTTAGTAGGTCTCCAAACATAAATTCAGAATTTCTCAACATTAAAATCACGTTCATGTAGGCTTCTTGGTGTTTCTAAAACCAGAATTTAAAAACATAAAAATTCTGTATAGCGCAGCTGTATGCTATTACACTTTACATATTGATCATCATAGAATTGAACACTTGCTATTATAAAAAGGAAGAGAATGTAAACTAAAGTATGTTTTCATTATTCAGTTTTATAAATCTTAGTAATTGATCGAGTTTCTCCTTCGTTTGGAGAGTTCCATTGTTTAGAGTTCATACATCAAGAATGTCATCACAATAAGTTTCTACAGTATTTTACTAATATATTATTAAAAACTATATACATTAGTATATATCATAGTTTGCCATTAACATGTTTATGATGTCTGATATTATGCATTATACTTGATTGATTAATACTACGTATTACATAAAATGCGAAAATTATTTTCTAATACGTCAACTTGATACATCAAAGTCCGACTGGAAATTAAAGTTCGTGTTACCCGCCTCTCTGATGTCATCCAAACTGAAAAACTAAATATACGAAAATAGATCAAAAAGTATTAATAATAGTTGATTTTCTATGGAAAGTACAAAATAACTATATAGCTTATGCGTGAATACAAACGGCAGGATTAGTTAATAAGATACAAAAAAATTCTTATGAATAAACACAATGAATCAGAAATGACCATTTACCGTCAACAAAAATACAATGTCATTTGGAATAATGCATAATGAATCCCACTCACTAGAAATGTGCTATATATGGTACCGTGCTCTACATGGATGGATCAAGCATTTGAATTGAGAATGAACGAAGGAATACGTTTGGATTCCGTGGCATCTTCAATTTTTTTTAATTAGTTTAGACACCTCAGATTTGTCCAATTTAGAAAAGAGTTGAAATTTTAAAAACTACACTTTTAAACATTTTCAAAGTGACGAAATTATGGGTTAAATGTAACATCTCACTATTAAAATTTAAAATTAATTATGCATACCAATCAGTCAGAACTTAATCAATTTCTGCAGAACCAGTTGATTCGATCAATTCCAGTTTTATCAAACGGGCTCTATATTAAACTAAGAGGTTTTTTATTATTATTATTATGTCATGTCTAGATTAACATGCATGTCTAGGTTAAGATGTCTGATTAAATGATATTTGTATTTGAGGCTGTTTATTTTGTATGCTGAATAAACAGTCTGAATCGTGTAAAATAAACAATTCCATATTATTCTTGATATATAGTGTCAATGAAAAAATTCATTTATTAATTGAAAATTTAAAAAAAATGACAGAAAAAACGTCTCAATAGACGTCTTAATGGGAAGAACTATTATTCTCCAATTTAAGGATTAAGTTAGTTTTTTTGACTGAATGATTAAGTCATATTTTCAATTTAGTAAGTAAACATTACTTAATGACTGAATGATTAAGTCGTCAATTGTCATTAAGTCTATTAAGTCGAAACTAAACAACCCCTGAGTTTATTTTGCTTTTGCATCACATTATATATGATTTTGAAAAAAAAAAACAAATTTAAATTTAGCTAAATTACGTACTGCCCGTGCATTGCACGGGCTTGAAAACTAGTTGAAAAATATTTTAAACTAATTTTTGACGTTTGTGTTTGTGAGTTGACACAAGAGCTGAAGGCATCATCGTCAGGTCTTTGGTCAAAGCCAGTCATAGTTTGGCTCAACTATTTTGTTAGTCACTCAATTTAAACAACTACACAAGTTATGCTGGCTTTGTCTGCACTATATATGATAAGATTGAAAGCGGTAACACTATATATGAAGTTCTTGCTGAAGTGGCTGTATTGGCTGATTCTGCTGATTCATGAAAAAATTATATTTAAAATATTTGTTAATAATAAATAAAATGAAAAAATTATATGAAAAAATAGCTAAAATGATCATCTACAGT